GGCAAATCAGGAAGAGGCAGGGGAATATAAGGTTCAAGTTGAACTTCTTGAGCCAATGAACATCTTTAAAGAATAAGAGAAGCAGAAAAAAAAGATGTGAACAGAGCTCTCTATCTTGATTTCCAGCACTGCACGAGCGAGAAGAAAAAGGAGGGGCGAAAAGACACTGCGAACGTTTGAGGGACAGGGGCATTGTTCACTTCCGCTGTCTCCCATTGTCGCATTCAGTGCTTAACAAACCTTGATAAGTGGTTTCTACAAACGCTGAATGGTATCGCATCGTGGCTTCACAAGGTTCGCTAAGTCTCTACTTCATGGTACGACACGACAACTGGGAAGCAGCGGACGTACAAATTTCCCCTTCCCCGCCCGTCGCCAAACTGCCCCGACAAAGAATAGGAGAACAATGGGAACAGCGAGCCAACAGGCACGATTCCACACATATGCAACACTTTTCATCTCCGGCTAGGTTCACCAAACAATGGGTGGGGTTTCTAGGCTGAAAACGTCCTCATCGCCCTTGTCGGTCACTCTCGTCCAGCGAAGGCGCGACAACTTCGGCAACAGTGGTTTGGGTTATCTGCACAAAGAATGGATTTCATTTATCTAAAATCGCGCGATGCAGAATGTCTTCCTATCTGTCTTTTCTCTACAAGTCCGAAAAAAATTCAATAACTCACGTAAAGCGTTTCAAAAAGCATTTGGGTAAAACCGCAATTATGCCTTGCTACTCGGGGGAGTAGGACAGTGGGAGACTCTCCAATTCCCTGTTCTACGAATTCGCTAGCGGGCAGAGTCATTTGATTCTCTTATACTCATCAGCGCAGAGTCTTGCGCAATCGTCAACTGTACCAAGTCGCCAGATCGATCGATACCTACAGTTTCCTTTGGTGCGCTCTTTCTGAATCTACCGAGTCAAACAGCGTTCGAAGTTTGCGTCAACGTTTTGAGCGACTAGAAAAGTGTAGCTATTGAACCAGAGTATTGAGCGTACGCTGGCGTAGCGATCAATACCTATACTTCCGTCGCTTAAAACACCGGTGGGAACGCTCAATACGCTGACCCAAAGTATAAAAACGTTCTCGAAAC